CTGCCTCATCACACCAACTCCCCTGTCTCACTGTCTCTCTCTCTGTGTCTCTCTCTCTGTCTCTCTGTCTGTCTCCCTGTCTCTCTGTCTTTCTGTGTGTGTGCCTCACACCAACTCCCCTGTCTCTCTGTCTCTCTCTCCGTCTCTCCCTGTCTCTCTGTCTCTCTCTGTCTCTCTGTCTGTCTCTCTGTCTGTCTCTGTGTGTGTCTCTCTTTCTCTGTCTCTCTCTCTGTCTCTGTGTGTGTCTCTCTGTCTCACTCTCTGTCTCTCTCTGTGTCTCACTCTCTGTCTCTCTCCCTATCTCTGTGTGTGTGTCTCACTCTCTGTCTCTCTCTGTCTCTCTCTCTCTCTGTGTCTCACTCTCTGTATCTGTGCGTGTGTCTCTCTCTCTGTCTCTCTCCCTGTCCCTCTCTGTCTCTCTCCCTGTCTCCCTGTGTGTGTCTCTCTCTGTCTCTCTCTGTCTCTCTCCCTGTCTCTGTGTGTGTCTCTCTGTCTCACTCTCTGTCTCTCTGTGTGTATCTCACTCTCTGTCTCTCTCCCTATCTCTCTGTGTGTGTCTCACTCTCTGTCTCTCTCTGTCTCTCTCCCTGTTTCTCTCTGTCTCTTTCCCTGTCTCCCTGTGTGTGTGTGTCTCTCTCTGTCTCTCTCTCCCTGCCTCTGTGTGTGTCTCACTCTCTGTTTCTCTCTGTCTCTCTCCTTGTCTCTCTGTGTCTCTCTCTCTGTCTCTCTCTCCTTGTCTCTGTGTGTCTCTCTTTGTCTCTCTCTGCTTGTCTCTGTGTGTGTGTCTCACTCTCTCTCTCTCTGCCTCTGTGTGTGTCTCTCTCTGTCTCTCTCCGTCTCTCTCCCTCTCTCTCTCTGTGTGTCTCACTTTCTGTCTCTCTCCCTGTCTCTCTGTGTGTGTCTCACTCTCTGTCTCTCTCTCCCCCTGCCTCTGTGTGTCTCACTCTCTGTCTCTCTCTGTCTCTCTCGTTGCTCGCAACCACCACGCCACCGCCACCACCACACCACCACCACGCCACCACCAGCACCACCACCACGGGACCACCACAGGACCACCACGCCACCACCGACCACCACGCAACCACCACGCCACCACCAACCACCACACCACCACCACGCCACCACCAGCACCACCACCACCGCTGGACCACCACGCCACCACCACGCCACCACCACGCCACCACCAGCACCACGCAACCACCACACCACCACAGGACCACCACGCCACCACCACGCAACCACCACGCCACCACCACCACGCCACCACCACGCCACCACCACACGACGTTCACCTTTACCTGTCCACGGCACGGCAATGCACGGCCCAGCACGGCACGGTTTTTCTGTGTTGCATTGACTGGGGAGCGGTGGTGCAGCGGTTAGCGCGCCACCGCTGCGCTCCGAAACCGGCGATCCGAGTTCGATTCCCGCTCACGGCCACCAGCACCAGTGACGATTTTCTGAACCGTTCCTGGGCCCTAACCTAGGTCGACTTAGCCCCAAATGAGCACCTGGTGCGTTGTGCAGTAAACATCGTCACTGGGGGAGACAAAGGCGGACGGGCGTGGTGCTGGCCACCCACCCCCCTCGTGTGCCGTTCCGGCCTTCACAGGCGCTACTCGCTAACAGCACTTGCCCCAACAGTCTGTCAAGGCTACACGGGGGATCTTTGTATTCTTGTTAATAACACATGTACAAGACGCGTGTGTATATACATAGCTACATACGTAACAAAGACAAATATTCCACGTGCAGCCTATACACGGAATGTTAAGGCAAGTGCTGTTAGCGAGCGCCTATGAAGGCCGGCACGGCACACGACGGGGGTGGGTGGCCCAGCACCACGCCCGGCCGCCTTTGTCTCCCCCAGTGACGATGTTTACTGCGCACTTGCACCGGGTTACTCATTTGGGGCTGAGTCGACCTAGGTTAGGGCCCAGGAACGGTTCAAACAGTCGCCACTGCTCTTCGCCGTGAGCGTCAATCGAACCCGGGTTTGTCACGTGGTTCGTAGCACAGCAGCGGTGAGCTAACCGCTGCGCCACCGCTCCCTAATCAATACAACACAGAACGCCGTGCCGACACTTTGCCCCTACAGCGCGTGTGAAGGCAACACGGGGAATATTTATCTGTTGAGTGGTACTCACACATTTCGTGCGTGTGAGTGTGTAGTTATATAGCAAAGCAGTAGCCATGGAGTCAACATTGGGGGGGAGGCAATTTTTCTAGGGGGTCTGGGGGTCCTCTCCCCAGAAAAAAATAAAAATCTACATTTGAAAACTAACACACAGGATGGACTTTTCATAGATTTTTTTTTTACAATAATGTCTAATAGTGTTATTGTATTACATTGATCTGTTTTTACTTTTTTTACATTTTCTTGTTTCGTTGAATGTAATGGCAGAGATTAGGGATTAATAAAGTAACGACCATAACCACAATCATATAAACAGAAATCTATGCATTGTTTTATATGAAGACAAGTCCAGATATTGAGGCCAAGGTTTAGCAAATTGTTGTTTTTATTTACATAGCATAGCAATTATTATTTAAAAAATATATATATTGTTTATAGCACCATATTTGGGGGGGGGGGACATTTATATATTCATATACATTTTAATTACGGCCTTGGTATATATACAAACCTGTCAACCCACAGGGTTTTCCTGTATTCTTGTCCAGGGAAATTGAGTTTTCAGGCTCGTACGGCGCACGGCCGTTATCAATACAGGCAACACATTATTTTTTATTTACCCTATTCGTTTGCGTTTTCTCTCTTGAACGTCGAGATTTATAAGGGCCACAGGGTCTGCATTGGTCTGTAACAAGCTAGGGCACTGATGAGGGGTTGACAGGTATGTATATATGTGTGTGTGTATCGCGAGGTATACACGGAGAGCATTAGTCTCGTATGTTGTACACGTGTGTGCATGTACATGCGGTGGATCAATACACGTGGGGATACACATATATGAATGTGGCGCAATTATTCATGTGAATTCACGTCAGGCGCACATTCAGACTCCACTGCTGTATGGGTGCTTTGCTCCAACTCGGGGGCACGGTGTGTGTGTGTGCATGTCGTTTGAATTTATAGTGAAATATATATTGCGTAAATATATTGCCTAAATATTTTGCGTAAATATATTGCCTAAATATGTTGCGTAAATATGTTGCGTAAATATATTGCGTAAATATGTTGCGAAAATATGTTGCGTAAATATGTTGCGTAAATATGTTGCGTAAATATGTTGCGAAAATATGTTGCGTAAATATGTTGCCTAAATGTTGCGTAAATATATTGCGTAAATATGTTGCGAAAATATGTTGCGTAAATATGTTGCGTAACTATGTTGCGTAAATATATTGCGTAAATATATTGCGTAAATATGTTGCGTAAATATATTGCGTAAATATGTTGCGTAAATATAGTGCGTAAATATGTTGCGTAAATATGTTGCGTAAATATGTTGCGTAAATATATTGCGTAAATATGTTGCGTAACTATGTCGTTTATTTGTGGAGAGCGGTGGCTAAATCTGTCGGCTCAGCCTCAAACGAGTAGCTGGTGCGGTGTGAAAACATCGCCCCGAGGGAGACAAAGGCGGCCAGGCGTGGTGTTGGCCACCCTCCCCCTCACTAACATCACTCGTCCCAACACTCTGTGAAAGCTATACGGGAGCTCTTTTTATCTTTGCGTGTATCTGTGTGTATCTGTGTGTGTATCCTTGTGTGTATCTGTGTGTCTGTGTGTGTGTGTATCTGTGTGTATCTGTGTGTGTGTATCTGTGTGTATCTGTGTGTGTATCCTTGTGTGTGTTTGTGTGTGTGTATCTGTGTGTGTATCTGTGTGTATCTGTGTGTGTGTATCCTTGTGTGTGTTTGTGTATCTGTGTGTGTGTCCTTGTGTGTATATGTGTGTATGTCTGTATCTGTGTGCGTGTATCCGTGCGTGTATCCTTGTGTGTATCTGTGTGTGTATCTGTGTGTGTATCTGTATGTATGTGTGTGTATCTGTGTGTATCTGTGTGTGTGTGTGTCTGTGTGTATCTGTGTGTGTATCCTTGTGTGTGTTTGTGTATCTGTGTGTATCCTTGTGTGTATATATGTGTGTATGTCTGTATCTGAGTGCGTGTATCCGTGTGTGTATCCTTGTGTGTATCTGTGTGTATCTGTGTGTGTGTCTGTGTGTATCTGTGTGTGTCTGTGTGTCTGTATCTGTGTGTGTCTGTGTGTCTGTATCTGTGTGTGTGTGTGTCAATGGGGAGCGGTGGCGCAGCGGTGAGCGCGCTACGCAACGCCTAAGTTCCATTCCCGCTCACGGCCAACACCGGTGACGATTCTCTGAACCGGTACCTGGGCTTAAATCTCCGTCGACTCAGCATCGAATGAGTACCTGCTGCCAGGAGGGAGACAAAGGCGTCCGGGCGTGGTCCTGCCCACCCACCCGGTGTGCTGCTGCTGCTGCTACTTGCTACGCAAAGCACTTGCCCCAAAACGTCCGTTCGAGGCTAGACGGGGGATCTCTGCCTTTGTTGTTGAAATGCATTATATGTGACCGTGTCTTCCACAGGGCCTGCACACGTACACAGACCCCGCGACTGCCGTTCCAGGCAACCGCTGTTGCGCGAACGCGTTGACCCGAGGAGAATTTCGTCTTCTGAGCACCTGGCACTCGACCACCGCTGTTTATGGAGATGACTACGGAACAGCATCAGCAGCAGCATCACCTCCATCATCACCACCAGCAGCAGCATCAGCAGCATCAGCAGCAGCAGCAGCAACAACATCAGCAGCAGCAGCACTCGTCAATGCACATAGCTCCGGGGATACTCAAGCCGACGGGACTTGATGTGACCCCGTGTGGCAACATCATTAGCAGCATCATCAGCAGCAGCATCAACAGCATCATCAGCAGCGCTAGTGGCAACATCAACAGCAGCAGTAGCAGCAACAACGTCGCTACAGCCACCACCACCACCACCACAACGTCCAGCAGCAGCAGCAGCAGCATCACGAATAGCAGCACGAGCAACAGCAGCAACAGCAGCACCACCATCACCACCACGAGCAGCAGCAGCAGCAGCAGCAACAACGCAGCAGCAGCAGCAGCAACAACAACAAACAGCGGCAAAGCGAAGAAGTCGTCAGCAGGCTTGCGGAGACCGGAGAAGCCTCCTTACTCCTACATAGCCCTCATCGTCATGGCCATCCAGAGCTCGCCGGGCAAGCGTCTCACCCTGAGCGAGATCTACCAGTTCCTCCAGAACCGATTCCCCTTCTTCCGCGGCGCCTACCAGGGCTGGAAGAACTCGGTCCGGCACAATCTGTCGCTGAACGAGTGCTTCATCAAGCTGCCCAAGGGACTCGGACGTCCGGGCAAGGGCCATTACTGGACCATCGACCCGGCGAGCGAGTTCATGTTCGAGGAGGGGTCCTTCCGTCGAAGGCCACGTGGATTCCGCCGCAAGTGCCAGGCGTTGAAGCCGGTGTACGGCCTCATCAATGGATTCGGCTTCAACCACCACCACCACCACCACAACCACGCCGTGCTGTCCCCGGGATTTGACTATCAGCATCACCAGCAACAGCAACAGCAACAACAGCAGCAGCAGCAGCATCAACATCATAACCACAGCAGCAGCAACCCGCACCCGGTGCACCACCACCACCATCATCACCACGGTGGTGGTGGTGGTGGTGCATCTATGAACGGGCTGTCTGGTCGAGCCTCGCCCGTGTCTGCCGTGGCATACGACGTGGGTTGCGCTGGTGCGACAACTTTAGACTACCTGCAGCAGTACAGCAACGTTGCTTCGCCCGTAGGCATCGACCAAGCGTCGGTGTACGCGTCCAGTAGCGCGCTCCATCATCATCATCAGCAACAACAGCAGCAGCATCAGCAGCAGCAGCATCATCATCAGCAGCAGGATCACGACGCCGGACATACCTCCCCGCTGGGGCAGCTGTGGATGCAAGGAGGCGGCTCAGTGTTGATGTACGGCAAGGCGGCTATGCAGATGTCTTCGTGTGACAGCGCTCAGCAGCAACAGCAGCAGCAACAGCAGCAGCAGCAGTTTGGAGGACACATGGAGCACATGTATGGAGGGCACGAGACGTTGGATATTCCAGGTATGGTGATCGCGGAGCGATGGTGATTGTGGTGATTGTGGTGATGATGGTGATGATGATGATGGTGATTGATTATGATGGTGATTGATTATGATGGTGATGATGATGGTGATGATGATGGTGGGTTGAACAGTTCGAGAGGAGAACCAGAGAGAGAGAGAGAGAGGTGACCAGCGGTGTGGTGAGTGGGTGAGTGGTAAGTGGGTGAGTGGGTGTGTGCGTGGTGAGTGAGTTGGTGAATGTGAAACTGTGACCTGCAGTGTGGTTAATGGCTTGATGAGTGAGTGGGTGGGTGAGTGGTGGGTGAGTGCGTGTGTGAGTGGTGTGTGAGTGGTTGGTGAGTGGTGGGTGAGTGAGTGGGTGTGCGAGTGGTGGGTGAGTGGTGGGTGAGTGGTGGGTGAGTGGTGGGTGAGTGAGTGGGTGTGTGAGTGGTGGGTGAGTGAGTGGGTGGGTGAGTGGTGGGTGAGTGGTGGGTGAGTGGTGGGTGAGTGAGTGGTGGGTGAGTGGTGGGTGAGTGGTGGATGAGTGAGTGGGTGTGCGAGTGGTGGGCGAGTGGTGGGTGAGTGGTGGGTGAGTGAGTGGTGGGTGAGTGAGTGGGTGTGTGAGTGGTGGGTGAGTGAGTGGGTGGGTGAGTGGTGGGTGAGTGGTGGGTGAGTGGTGGGTGAGTGAGTGCGTGTGTGAGTGGTGGGTGAGTGGTGGGTGAGTGAGTGGTGGGTGAGTGTGTGTGTGAGTGGTGGGTGAGTGGTGGGTGAGTGGTGGGTGAGTGAGTGGTGTGTGAGTGGTGGGTGAGTGGTGGGTGAGTGGTGAGTGAGTGAGTGGTGTGTGAATGGTGGGTGAGTGCTTGTGTGAGTAGTGTGTGTGAGAGTGGTGTGTGAGTGGTGGGTGAGTGTGTGTGTGAGTGGTGGGTGAGTGAGTGGTGGGTGAGTGAGTGGGTGTGTGAGTGGTGGGTGAGTGAGTGGGTGGGTGAGTGGTGGGTGAGTGGGTGAGTGAGTGGTGGGTGAGTGGTGGGTGAGTGAGTGGTGGGTGAGTGGGTGTGTGAGTGGTGGGTGAGTGGTGGGTGAGTGGGTGTGTGAGTGGTGGGTGAGTGGTGGGTGAGTGGTGGGTGAGTGAGTGGTAGGTGAGTGAGTGAGTGGTGGGTGAGTGAGTGGGTGAGTGAGTGGTAGGTGAGTGAGTGGTGGGTGAGTGAGTGGTGGGTGAGTGAGTGGGTGTGTGAGTGGTGGGTGAGTAAGTGGGTGGGTGAGTGGTGGGTGAGTGGGTGTGTGAGTGGTGGGTGAGTGGTGGGTGAGTGGTGGGTGAGTGATTGGTGGGTGAGTGAGGTGGTGGGTGAGTGGGTGTGTGAGTGGTGGGTGAGTGGTGGGTGAGTGGTGGGTGAGTGGGTGGGTGAGTGGTGGGTGAGTGGTGGGTGAGTGTGTGTGGGAGTGTGTGTGTGAGTGAGTGTGTGTGTGTGTGTGAGTGGTGGGTGAGTGGGTGTGTGAGAGTGGTGTGTGAGTGGTGGGTGAGTGCGTGTGTGAGTAGTGTGTGTGTGTGAGTGGTGGGTGAGTGCGTGTGTGAGTAGTGTGTGTGAGAGTGGTGGGTGAGTGGTGGGTGAGTGGGTGTGTGAGTAGTGTGTGTGAGAGTGGTGGGTGAGTGGTGGGTGAGTGGGTGTGTGAGTAGTGTGTGTGAGAGTGGTGGGTGAGTGCGTGTGTGAGTAGTGTGTGTGAGAGTGGTGGGTGAGTGGTGGGTGAGTGGGTGTGTGAGTAGTGTGCTGTGTTATGGAGAGGGACAGCTCAGGAGTAGTGTTCTGCGCCACGAACCCAGCGACCCGAGTTCGGAAGACCTTTGTCTTTGTTTCGTGATATACGTGGTGATGGTGGTGGTGATGGTGGTGGTGATGGTGGTGGTGATGGTGGTGGTGGTTGGTGGTGGTGATGGTGGTGGTGGTGGTTGGTGGTGGTGTTGGTGTTGGTTGAGCACAGTGGTTGGTGGTGTTGGTGGCTGAGCACAGTGGTTGGTGGTGGTGGTGGCTGAGCACAGTGGTTGGTGGTGGTGATGGTACGGGCGGTGTGACGTGTGATGGAGATTCTAACTGATGTTCTAACAGACCTTGGTATACCAAATATACATACAGCATATTTACATACATGTAGTCTGTTTTCATTTGAAGCTTTCGTGACTGTATTTATACCTACGTGACTTTATCCAAAGAACCAAAACGCATGTTGTCCGATTACTCCGCGTGTTTTCATAACTGCCTATAACGCGATGTGTATTATAGGATAACACATCTTTACGTAATGCGGAATGCGATTTGGATATAACGCCATCGAGTGAAATGGAACTACGTCGCAGCAGGAATAAGCGATCGTGCATCTGCCTCGGCCTAGCATTATCACCACCATCACCATCAACGTCATCACGATCGAACGAGGCGTTGGGATACTGCTGGATGCTACTTCTAGACCAGTCGTTCTTCTTAACCTGGAGGCGCGCGCACCCCCCGGGGGTGTGAAGACCCCCTTTTCGGGGGTCCTGAGACGTGGCCAGACTTATTTTCTTCGAAGGTAAATAATCGAAAACACAAATTGAGTACGGGGACAACGTGAGTCACACCTCACTTTGTTTCATCAAACCATTTCTACTTTATTAACATTTTTGTCGCGATTTTGACTTAAAGCTTTCGTGACTGCAGTAATTCATATTCTTAGCTCTTTCGGTAAAGTCGCGTTGAAGGGAAACTGATGTTCTTATTATTTTATTGTTTCCCTTCAACGTGACTTTACCGAAAGAGCTAAGAATATTATTATTTCGTAGCGATTGAGAGCCAATGGGGCTGCAAGGCTGCAGCACAGGTGAAGAACCACTGCGCTAGACGCTGCTCACCCACTCGTTCTTTGTCCAGCCCTGCGTTACACACCACGATCACCATCACCACCGCCACCATCATCATCATCACATTGTTATGGCGGTACCCCCCCTATAGTTCTACGTAACTTATTAACAACGCGATTGTTCCATAGAGCGGTGTTCTTCTGGAACGCAGCAACAACAACAACAACAACCACAACTACCGCCGCCGCCGCCGCTGTCGTTACAGGAGAACAGACTTCACGCGCGTCCCAGACACTGTTACGGATTCGTTTAATCCGGAAGATCCTTTCCCGAGGACATTTCGCGCATTTCTCTTTGACCCTCGACCCGTTCGCGGGATTGTAAGAACGCACATCAGCGCGCGCGCGTGCCCCCTGTTACGTCGGTTACGTCCCGTGGATCATTGCGCTAGCCGGTAGTGCCTTACGCCGAGTAAATGGAGACCGCTCCAGGCCAAAGCGTGTACAGCGGCAAGCACCACGGGCGCCGGGGCTGAGAAACAGGTCCGGGCCCCTCGATCCACTCACTGCTGGATGAGAACCCACCGAATGGTGAAGTATTTGACCAAACTTCACCAGCGGAGTACAATAAAGACACCGATCCCACGTGCAGCATGCACAAGACTGGCGGCGGACAGGATGATGTTAGTGGCGAGTTAGCAGGACCGATGGAGGCCGCGCACTGTGTGGCACACGAGGGAGATGGGTGGTCGGAACCACGCCCGGCCGCCTTTGTCTCCCCGGTGGCGATTTTTTTTTGTTACACATCGCGCAAGGTTACTCATTTGAGGCTGAGTCGACCTAGGGGGGAGGCGCACGGCCGATTCAGATATTATCGGTGTTGGTGGTCGGCCGTGAGCAACAATCGAACTCGGCTCGCCAGGTTCTTAACACAGCGGTGCACATAGAGGTACAGTACAGCATAGGGGTACAGTGCAGCAGAGCCTTGGATTTGCTGTTGTAGCATACAGCATGGTCCAGCGCTGTCCCAACAGCGGCGAGGAGATGTTGACTACCTCGCCTGGAACGCAGGAGGTCGTGGGTTCGACCCCGACCCTGACGATGCCTTCTGCTGCTGCTGCGGCTGTATATTTGGAGTCTGCGTGTCTCTCCCTCCCCGTGATGGTCGCGTGGATTTTTCTCGCCCGGATCCTCCGATTTTCTTTCCCCTCCACGTTTCAGAATCGACGTCGCAAACGCGTTCAGAGTTTTTGGCCACCGCTATGAATTTCCACGTGGCGATGACGGCGTGCCCACTTCATTGAGCTGTCATTTGTGATGGCCAAGAGCGACACGGCAGTTCAGTGGGGACTTACCTGGTAATATTGCCCATGGTTATATCGCGTTTGCTTGGCAAGCCCCGCCGTAGTAACCCCTGCTGATGAGACCCACGGAGGTCGAAACCGATCCGACTTTTAGTCTTCTTTTACTGAAGAAAGTCCGCTGGAAGTCATTGGGCAGTGAGGCAATTCGATAGGCTGACTGACCGTATGCACTACTCTCTATAAATGTATAATGTAATGTATATATATACTCTATAGATATATGTGTATAGCGCGCTGGCGACCCGAAATTAACGCTCATCACGGCCACCATCACCAGTGACGATTAATTGTCTGAAACGGTTCCGGGCCACCCCTAGTAGGTGCTACTCGCGACGAACAGCACTTGCCCCAACAGTCTGTTAAGGCTGTACGGGGGATCTTTGTATTTGTATATACTGTATATAGTAGGGAGCGGTGGTGCAGCGGTACACTTTGCTGCGCTACGAATCCGGCGACCAAATTTCGATTGCCGCTCACGGCCACAATCCATTTATCTGACGCATTCCTGGGCCTCCTCTAGGTCGACTCAGACTAAAATTATTACCCGGTAGCGTTGCGTAAACATCACCACCGGGGAGACAAAGGCGGCCTGGCGTGGTGCTGGCCACCCACCTGCTCGTGTGCCATGCCGGCCTTCGTAGGCGATCGCTAACAGCACTTGCCCCAACAGTCTGTTACAGGCTACACGGGATACCTTTGTATTTTTTCATATTAAAAAAAAAACACGTGTTAACGTTTACTTAATAAGCCAGGCCTTATCTATACACATATATCGGATAATCTATTGATGTACTTGTTGTATTATTTGTTCCTCATTAAAAGTGTATGAGATTAACACGTGCGATTATGTGAGATTAACGGATATACCGAGCGATCCATTTGCAGATACCCCGCAAGCGTGTCTCACACCAATCTCAATAACGCAGCGCGTGTCTCCCGGGGGTTCAGTAAAAGATGCCAATTTCTGGACGTAACGAATCCAAAACGGTTAAATAAAAGGGAGCCGATTACGTGAGATAAGGCATCTGGACGGGTTAAATAAAGGACTCCAATCGCAAGAGACAATTAATCTAATTGACCTCTCACGTGAGTTAAATAATGGACGTCCGTGGCAGGGCAGCTGGAGGGTATCTGCAAATGGATCGCGACGGTGGTCGGCACAGCAAGCGGGCTTCGTGAACCCGCCAGGCTGCTCAAGGCTACACGGGATGCGTTTGCCTTTGTAGTTGTCGGAACGTTTCCTGGACATTATCAGGCGATCGATCAGACGAACATTGCTAGTTGGCCGTGTCGGGTGGTGGCGGGTTGAACGACACATTTGATATATTTACGCGAACTAACCCCAGAAAGAAAGAAAAAAAAAACACAACGAATGATACCGGTCGCGAAAGCCCACGTGTTCAACAAGTTAATTAGGGATTAGTTTTCACGCTGACATTTATTATCCTAATAAAATTAATTTATAATCGTAAATATTCGCGCGATGCATTCAATCACGGGACCTTTGCAGTTAATTGTGAAAATCGAGAATAGGTTGTTTTACCCACCCCACCCCCACCCACCCCCCTTTTCTTGCCAATAAAACAGTGTTTGTCTGTTTAAACGTCGAGTCGGACGTCTTCCCGCGAGGTATCAAAGACCGCATTGACCCACGACACGATGCCCTGTTAGCAAAACACGCAATTAAAAACGTGCTCTGGCGGTAGACCCCCGCATTGTCTCACGCAAAAAAAAAAAAAACCTCTTCTTCTTCTTTGGTTCTTTCGGTAAAGTCACGTAGAATGAGAATAAAATAATAAATTGATAAAATAAAATTATTGTGTTATTTTATTTTATCAATGTATTATTTTATTCTCATTCTACGTGACTTTACCGAAAGAACCAAAGAAGATGAATCATTGCAGTCACGAAAGCTTTAAATCGAAATTTAACCGCCTCTACGGGGAGGGATTCCACACATCCTTAGTGAGAATATTATTGTGTTATTTTATTTTATCAATTTATTATTTTATTCTCATTCTACGTGACTTTACCGAAAGAACCAAATAAGATGAATCATTGCAGTCACGAAAGCTTTAAATCGAAATTTAAACCTCTTCTTGTTTCGAAATCATTCTTTACGCTGGCGACAAAAGGTCCCATAGGTAACTTGGAGGGTGTTCGCAAGCTCACTGCGCTAATCGTTGCGCCACCGCTCCCCACCGCACGCAGGCATTATTAGGTGACTAGATGGAGGTGTGGAGTGAGTCACGCACCCACGGCACCTGCCCCAGCTGTCTGCGAGAGGCTATGCGGGGAATCTTTGTCTTTACAAACAGGCTGTAGGGGCAAGTGCTGTTAGCGAGTAGCAGCGCCTATGAAGGCCGGAACGGCACACGAGGGGGGTAGGTGGCCAGCAACCACGCCCGGCCGCCTTTGTCTCCCTGGTGGCGAAGTTTACACGTCGCAATAGGCACTCATTTGAGCCGAGTCGACCTAGGGGAGGCCTAGGACCGGTTCAGATAATCGTCACTGGGTGTTGACTGTGAGCGGGAATCGAACTCGGGTCACCAGGTTCGTAGCGCAGTGCGCTGCCGCTACACCACCGCTCCCCCACACACGCAGACAAACACAGACACACAAACACAATCATCATCACACAGACACACTCATCATCACAGTGATCACACAAACACAATCATCATCACAGTGATCACACAGACACACTCATCATCACAGTGATCACACAAACACAATCATCATCACAGTGATCATACAGACACACTCATCATCACAGTGATCACACAAACACAATCATCATCACAGTGATCACACAGACACAATCATCACAGTGATCACACAATCATCATCACAGTGATCACACAGACACAATCATCATCACAGTGATCACACGTACACAATCATCATCACAGTGATCACACAAACACAATCATCATCACAGTGATCACACAGACACAATCATAATCACAGTGATCACACAAACACACTCATCATCACAGTGATCACACAGACACAATCATCATCACAGTGATCACACAGACACTCACCATCACAGTGATCACATAGACACAATCATCATCACAGTGATCACACAGACACAATCATCATCACAGTGATCACACAAACATAATCATCATCACGGTGATCACACAGACACAATCATCATCACAGTGATCACACAAACACAATCATCATCACAGTGATCACACAAACACAATCATCATCACAGTGATCACACAGACATAATCATCGTCACAGTGATCACACAGACACAATCATCATCAAAGTGATCACACAAACACAATCATCATCACAGTGATCACACAGACACAATCATCATCATCACAGTGATCACACAGACACAATCATCATCACAGTGATCACACAAACACAATCATCATCACAGTGATCACACAAACACAATAATCATCACAGTGATCACACAAACACAATCATCATCACAGTGGTCACACAAACACAATCATCATCACAGTGATCACACAAACACAATCATCATCATCACAGTGATCACACAAACACAATCATCATCACAGTGATCACACAGACACAATCATCATCATCACAGTGATCACACAAACACAATAATCATCACAGTGATCACACAGACACAAGCATCATCACAGTGATCACACAAACAAAATCATCATCACAGTGATCACACAAACACAATCATCATCACAGTGATCACACAGACACAATAATCATCACAGTGATCTCACAGACGCAATCATCATCATCATCACCACAGTGATCACACAGACACAATCATCATCATCATCACAGTGATCACACAAACACAATAATCATCACAGTGATCACACAGACACAATCATCATCACCACAGTGATCACACAAACATAATCATCATCACAGTTATCACACAAACACAATCATCATTACAGTGATCACACAGACACAATCATCATCACAGTGATCACACGTACACAATCATCATCACAGTGATCACACAAACACAATCATCATCACAGTGATCACACAGACACAATCATCATCACAGTGATCACACAGACACAATCATCATCACAGTGATCACACAAACAATCATCATCACAGTGATCACACAGACACAATCATCATCATCATCATCACAGTGATCACACAAACAATCATCATCACAGTGATCACACAGACACAATCATCATCATCATCATTATCATCATCACAGTGATCACACAGACACAATCATCGTCACAGTGGTCACACAAACACAATCATCATCACAGTGATCACACGGACACAATCATCATCACAGTGATCACACAGACACAATCATCATCACAGTGGTCACACAAACACAATCATCATTACAGTGATCACACAAACACAATCATCATCACAGTGATCACACAGACACAATCATCATCACAGTGATCACACAGACACAATCATCGTCACAGTGGTCACACAAACACAATCATCATCACAGTGATCACACAGACACAATCATCATCACAGTGATCACACAGACACAATCATCATCACAGTGGTCACACAAACACAATCATCATCACAGTGATCACACAAACACAATCATCATCACAGTGATCACACAGACACAATCATCATCATGACAGTGATCACACAAACACAATCATCATCACAGTGATCACACAGACACAATCATCATCATCACAGTGATCACACAGACACAATCATCATCACAGTGATCACACAGACACAATCATCATCACAGTGATCACACAGA